TTATCATAGATTTCATAGTTACATTCAGCAGGAGATATTTCCATTTAAAATGAATATATAAAATTATAAAATACTTTCATTATCTTTTTGCATCAGCACTTCTCCAACCACATAGTCAGAGAAGTCTGTTTTAAAAATTATATACTTGTTCAGATTGAATGATTGCAGTATCAGAGTGTTTGTAAACATATACTTCAGCTTTTGAACACTGTGTCTGCTTCATCAATTCATTGAAATACAGCATTCTTTCAGATTAGATTTGATAGTGATTATATGATATTAAAGAAATCTTTAATAAACTTTTAATAAAAGTTGATAAACTCTAAAAAGCTTTTGATTCCTTTTACTGAGATCAGTGTCTTTCAATTGAGAATTGCTTCCATCTTCTTAAAATCGATGCATATATCTCTTTCAATTTCAATGATGAACCTCAGATAAGTTGTAGACTTAATCTCAAAGTTGCATTTATTAATGTTCATTTATAATCCAGCTTTATGTAAGTAAATAAGCACTTGTCATACATGCTTATGATGCTCAGTGAATGAGCCATTCATGAAGATTAGAATATCATTTATATATATTGATGCAATCTCATTCAGTATGTTTTATAAAGCTCAATTAATATATTTCTGAAACATATTTAAGATGTTAATCAGTTCAAAAAGAGTCACTGTTCATTCAAATAAATTGTAATAGGCGCAACGGAGATATCTATATTAGGAAATAGGTACGTGGCGATAGATACGTGGCGATGGCAATATTATCTATATAATGCTCGCTGATATCCGTGGATTTTAAGAGATCAGCGATTAGCTTTGAACAATAGAGATTGCTACCTTCTCAATATCCTTTGTGCGTACTTCACACTACTTTTGTAATTACTCTTGTAGCCCATCTCTTACAATAGTCTTGCATTTCTCCTCTAGAGCTTTATGTTTTTCCTTTTTCATTTCAAAAGTCATCATAAGACATTGCATCTGCTGGTCAGACACAATATTGTTAGAAAGTAAGGTCTCAAAATGTCAGACTTTATTGTCATGATGTGAGCCCATCTCATCAAGCTGTTGAGTAATTTGAGTAAAATAAACAGATCAGGCTGACAGTCTGACTGTGTCAGAAGCTGTATTCAATTCAGCTTTGAATTGAAATGATGTTTCAGAAGAATTGAGCTCATTAATAAAGCTTTCAAATGCTTCTGACAGATGATCATGAGCAGAGCTTGGGCGTGGGGGAATATCATCATCCGCCACTACTGAGCCAGAGGGCAGGACGCGAGATTGCATGTATGTATGTATGTATAGGTTTAACGTCCCGGAGAAAACACGGGCAGCGCCCGTGTTTCAGAAGCCTCCCGAAGGGCATGGAGACGTGCTACGCTGGAGAGATTTCTATGTACACAGAGAGAGAGAGAAAACAGAATCCAGGTGGCAACTCTTGAGAAGACTCAGCTCATTGCAAAGGATTTTTCTGAGCTGCGCATCCACTTCTGGCCCGACGTATGGCCATTCATGGTGGGGCTATAGTGTGGTTCCCTGAGGGGACCGCCGCTGCCGTGCCTGGAAGGCTTTATAGTGAGCAGAGAGGGATACCTCTCTCAGTTGATCAGAAAGCTGTCTGTGCTTCTAACATCAGAAGAAAGACAGACAAGATAAATAATGAAAGAAAGAGAGGGAAAGTGTGTGTTCTGAAATGAAAAGAATAAAAGAGAGAGGTGAAGGAAAGACTGTGTCATCTGCAACACCTTGCAGTCACGTGACATGGCACAGACCCGGGGGAAAAGAGAGGAGAGAGCACTACAGAAGGTTGTGAAAGGAAAAGAGCAGAGAATGACAGAGAGAGCAAAGAAAAGAAGGAAGAAGAAGCATTTGAGCCAATAGAGACAAGGGCAAACGAGAGGAAAACAAAGCAGAGCACGCGTAGATACAATGCCGGCAGTCAAAACCATATCAGCTGAGTCAGACACGTAGACTGTACTGATTACACCACAGCTAATTGAGACAGATGAGCCTAGTTGTGCTATCTGTACTGTCTGCATAGACTGTGATGTCCCTGGCAGTTGCACTAGCTACCGTGGGTGTACTCAGCAGGCCGGCCTCGTGGAACTGCTGCGGGGGTTGTCAGATGGTTTGCAGCCAGCCGGCTGCGTTACCTTGTGCAGTATCGTGTGTAGAACTGCTTGCCGTCTGTCTGTTCTACAAAGTCTGTAGGGGTCAGAGACCCCTAGATAGGCAACAGCTGTCGCCCGGTTGTGTGGCCGTGCTGCTGGCCTCTTGGGCCAGTGAAGAAAGTGCCTCTGTGAGTGTCGACAGAGCACCAAATGTTCTGGGCTCTTGTTGTGTCCACAGACACAGGTGAGCCTCGCATCTGCATGCTGGAAACGCCTGTGGTACCAGGAGAAGTCCCCATGAGAGGAGCGGAGTGCGAGCCAGCGGTGAAGGGCATGCCGTGGCATGGTGAGCTCCGGAGGGGCCTTCACTTGGTATTCCACAGTCGGCCTGCTGAAACTCCAGCCCCGGTACCAGTCAGAGAGCCTGCCACAGGCTCCACTCCACCACTTTCGCCTTGCCTCTTGGCTGAGCTGCTTGGCCACTGTGCGGACCCCACTGACTGTGGGAGAGAACTAGAGACCATAGGCTGGGGCTGCAGTGGATGAGACTGCCCGCTTAGCCAAGCGGTCTGCTTCCTCATTGCCCTCTATCCCCATATGCCCAGGAGCCCATTTCAGGCCGACATTGTGCTGTCTGAGGAGCTCATGGCAGCGGTTGTAGGCCCAGTTTGAGGAGGCTGCTGCACTGCCCCGTATGCCCCAGATGACTGAGGTGTTGTCGAGGCAGAGCCAGATCTGAGGGTTGCTGCTGTCCTCTGTGACACAAGGTAGGAGCTTCACAGCGCACTCTAATGCCCGGCAGGCACACTACTTCTGTACGGTCAGCGTCGAAGATATGTGACATAGAGCTACAGAGCGTAGTGTTAGGGAACTGGCCAGCTGTTTATTTCCCT